CCGTTTCCATTGATGCTATTATTATTGTTATTGTTGTTATTGTTTCCGCCCGCCGGCGAAATCGACGCGCCGCTGCTCTCCGGCTTGACGTCGTTCATCTTCATCCCCTTCGTCGCGTACGTCGCGCAAACAATAAATTCCGCAAGGCCGTCGAGAATGTCGAATGATACCGTGCGATCGCACACAATCAGTCGTGCCGATTTATCGCGCGCGACACGCGGAAAACACGTCTCATCTCGTATCAGCGACGAGAAGTAGCCTCGATCGATCAGTTCGTCATCGGCCGTTATCGCCTTTGCCTTTGTTATCGCTTTATCATAACGAGCGTACGAGTTTCTGTTTCTCCGTGATTCTCCCCACTCGGTCTAACAATTAAGTTTCAACTGCTGGTTTCTGTCTCGTCTCGAGCCTCTTCCCTCTCCAGTTCGGGCGCCACGTCTCGATCGACGATTGTCACGTTTGTGATCAATATCGCTGTTGATTAACCGCGTATCTCGCGCGTGTACGCACGCGTGACTCCGTATAGTTCTTCTATCTGCGTCGGTTGCCTTTTCGTTCGTCGCAGTTCGCCGAACTCTGTCGCTTCTTATCTATGCTGCTTCTCTTTGTCCGTCTCGAAAGTCTCGCCGTCTGGTCTCTTTCTCGATAAGGCCTTCCTTCAGGGAAGGCTTTTCGCTTCGCTCATTTGGAACACGTGACTCGGTAGACAGATACCACTGACGTTTTAAGCGGATTCTTGTATCTTACAGTTCACCAATCATCGCGTATCCTTCGAGAAGAAAACCGACTGTATCTAACAGCAAGTAGGAGCGTGACGTCACCAGAATTGAAATTATCACGAAGCGTTCGCGGAATCCACGAGGAGTCTGCGACAATCTCGATAAATCTCCGTTCGTTCGATCGTAGAGAACCGTTAACTCGCGTGCCGTGGACTATGACCTTCGCACCTTTCCGTCTCGGAGAGTCTTTCGTGTAGCGTCGAACAATTTCACACATCGAGAGAATACCGGGATCTTTCCGCTCGCCGGACCGGATGACGACGGGGCGCGCGCTCGCATTACTCGCGGTAACTCGCGCCGCGTTCAAGCTCTCGGGGCTTCGGCGGGTCGCTTGTCGCGCGATCGGCGCTCGAGTGAGGTGGTTGCATCGCCTCGGGGCAGTTTCCACCACGAGGCCTGACATCGTTCACTCGACTCGGCTGGCTCGTTTTGGGGGCGGGGCGAAGGCAGCGCGCTGGTAACACTTGTTGCTCCGTTGAAGTCCCGGCGACGGTCGCGTGTACCGGGAGGGAGATGACGGCGGGCGGCTGCGGTGGAAGTGGCCGGGATATCTCGCGGGTGGAAGCGAGACGAGGAGAGGCACGAGGCATTTGCTCGGCGTATCTCGCGGCCGTCGTGTTTCCCGGCCTCGTCCTCGGAGGGACGCGGCCAAATAAGGCGGCACCCGAAGTCTTTATATTTTTTTTCTCACTTTTTCATATATTGTAATACACCGTCAATGGAAAAATTCCACGTTATCGTAATCGACGCACGCGCAAAAGCAAGTTTCGTCATGTAATGGGAAGGACTGTAATCGTAATACTTTGATAAATTTAGACACACAATCAATTATTATCAGGGTTGAGTAACTTTTTTTTAACTATAAGTTGAATTAAAGTTAACAGCCTTGAAAATTTAATTTAGTTAAGATAAAAATTAATCCTTAGTGACATTAACTGAATTAAAAGTTAAGTTAATGAAAAAAAAGTAATTGAAAATGTAAAAGTTAAATTTGTTTTATTTCATGATTTCAAGTTAACTTTTTTTTTATTTAACTAAATTAAAAAACTAAATTAAAAAGTTAACTTTTTTAACTAACAAGGAGATGCTCACATATTTCACGGATTTTAATCAACTTTTGCGTGATTATTCTGAGGCATCAAAAAATAATCCCTGTAAAACAGTAAATTACACATCTACGTATTTTTCGAGAAAATCGTGATTTTAGGTCACGATGAATCATTTTCAAACCTCTTTATTCTTTGTTTAAATTAAATATTTGAAATTATTTAAAATTAGAAAAATACATCTCCGACTAACGCGAATGTCATATAATCCGTGTCAATAATCCAAAAACCAAATGTCAATAATCATATAATCCGAGTATAGGATCCGTATTTATAACGCCAACTACCCAATTCTGATGTTAACCTTTAAAAAATCAAATTAAAAGTTAATAGTTACTGATAAAATATAACTATATAAAGTTAAAAAATTAAGAGTCTAAAATGTAACTAAATGAAGTTAAAATTAATTAACTTTTTAACTTAGCCTTACTCAACCTTGATTATTATGATAAGGTCTTAATTAATAAACAATTATAAATCAAAATTAGACTGATGAGAATAAATCAATTAATAGAAATAATCCTATTTTCGATCAAATTAATAATAGTTACAAAAGAATGGTTATAATTAATAAATGAATACTTAATTAATAAACGCGGAAAGCTGCTGGAAATTTATTCATTGAAAAAAAAATGAATTCTCAAGTATTTAAAAAAAATGAAAGTTCTTTCGTTGGGCGAATATGTAATAAAAATTATCAAGGAAATATATGTGACCTAAGCGGAGTACATAAAAAATTTTACTACGCGAAATAAAGTCTCGAGTATCAAATAAACATTACACTTGTGACACATTAAGCGTTCAATAACTTTTTTCCATCTTAATTTTCTAGAACGAAATTTTCCATTAATATGTGTTACGATCTTTAAATTTCCTCCAACACTTTTTATTCTAATACAAAGTGTTTTTACCCTTTTTTTTTAAAGATCGTGATTGCATTCATAAATGCTAAGGATTGGAGGACAAAGAATGCGGACACCATCTCGTTGATCAAAGAAAGAACATGTCCTGTGACAATGTTGCACCATCTGACTGCAATCCTGATACTTTTTTTTGCGCGACAGACCACTCTCGCTGACCGAAAAAGAGAGAGAGAAAGAGAGAGAGAATCAGACGTTAATAATATCACGATTTCTTTCTCTCTCTTCCTCCTCTCTCTGTTCTCGGATAGATCATCTCCCCTTCTTCATGATACCGCGTTCCCTTCCTCTTCAGGGAAGATCGCCGGTCATTCCATTTATATTTCGGTACTCTTTGCTGACAAGAGAGTTTCCATGGCTACGATATCCTCCGGGAGGATGGAACCAATCGTATTTCTGCTTGCTCCACCTATCTCTCGCCTCGTCCCTCTTCTTCTCTTCTTCCTTCCTTCTCCTTCTCACCTTCTACAGCTCTTCAGTTCTTCGCCGTTCCTGGTCGCGATCGTCTTCGTTTCTCCGACGTGGTCCCGTCGATTGGTCGGCCGCAATTATGACGTCGCGTGGAGGAGAGTACGCACCGCAACAAGACCGGTTGCATTCACGATTGCACGCTGCACTCATCGGCCGACCCTCGTGGCGACCGGACATTTACACGTTTTGGCAAGGAAACGAAAGTTTCGATGCGGAGATTGCAGAGATGAGTCTGTAGTTCGCGAGGATCACTTTTGATATCGGTTCATACTTAAAGCGAATCTGGCAAATGAATTTACCTCTCGCCTTTTTGTATTGGATCCTCTTCAGCTGATAGTACAGAGAGAACGTAGGTAAACATACAAAAGAAAGCGATCATGTGTTTATTTTTGTACAAAAGCCAAATTATGGTATCACCAAGTTAATAAATATCAACTCTATGATTTGAAAAATTTTCACTTTTAATGAATTTTGCGATATATTTATGAATTTTTTTTATAAATCTCTCTTTTTCGAAAATGTTATTAATTATCCCACTAATTCTTATTTTTCATAAAACAAAATGTAAAGTCGTTCTTGTCTACTAATATTAAAGTGAGCTAGAATTTGCTATTTAATTAACAAATTAATTACACTTATTATAAAACGTAAATTGCATAGCATTTCTTGAAGGAAAAAATATATATATTTTATTATTTTTATTAACATATATAGTAGATATAATGAGGACATCTTTTTTAATTGTCAATTGCATTTACATCTTTGAATGCACATAAATCTTGATGCCTATTGGTATGCTCAGGCAAATGTCTTTGGAACGCAACTCGAGTCATTAATCAAGTCGGTTGTAATTAACGATTTCGTAAGCATCAGGCCGGGAAGCTCAAGCGAATTAATTAGAAAGCAATAGCAATCGACTGAATTTCACAATGAAAATTAAGCGTAGCGAAAAAGATTTGCAGATAAGGAGAACGAATTTGCGTTCTTATACGCAGTTAATTTTCGTAAACAAAGAGAGATAAGATATCTATTATATTTAAAATAATATATGAGAATTAAGAAAATATGAAAAATAATAAAATAATATATAGTATAAGAGAAATATAATATATATTTGCAACAATTACAGGAAGATTATCTGATGTTTAATTTGTAATTTACAATATACATATCTGAACTACTAAAAGTGCGTTCTATAAGCATTTCAAGAGAATAATCGATGGTTGGTTCGTCGTTCCTTACAGCGAGACCTACTTTGTATTTTTGTATTTTCCGTAAAATCGAAAAGCAAATTTATTGTCAGCCTACAAAGGAAAAAATAAATCACTGCCGTTGAAATTAATCACTCTTCAAATAAATTATCACACAAAAATCTAATTGTCTTCCAAGAGAAAAAAGATAAATCAAAGGATTCATTTTGAAAGGATTAATCAAAATTTAATTTTCTCAGCTCTAAAAATTATTTCTCTAAACTTAAGTAAAAATTGCGCTCGACATCCTTTAATTATTTAACCGCGACAGATCCATCACTAAAACCAAAGGTAGCATTTTAATAATTCTTATTATTCTTCCATGGATCTGTTTATTATTTTTCATCGTCTGTGTATTATTCTTCCACTTGAAGAAAAAGTTACATGATCGCTACTCATTGTCAGTTTCTGAGTGAAAATTACGTCGTTCTTGCGAAAATAATTTAACTGCGATCGGAGAAAAAATCGGATCGACGTCGCGGTGCACATCCGTGCGTGTTTGCCGACACGCGTACACCCGTACACGTGTAGCTATCGGCCTCATGTACTACGCAATGACGTTGCCTGGACGCGATGATGACGGCGCAGAATGTTTCGAGGCTCGTGTCTCCGTTGGGGGTCCGTGCACGAGTCGCCGGTGCTCACCACCCGGGGGGCTACATGTGTCGGGTACCCGGCTCCATCGACCCCCGTTCCCCGCCCACGAGATCCTTTCAAGTGCCCGACGGCACGTCGTCCCGACCCCCAGGAATTGCTGGAATTATTATTTTATCGCGGCAAGGAGAGTCGCCGGGATATTCGATAATATTGCCTCCCGATCCACCACCAGACCTTTCAACAATCTCTTCCTCACCGTTTCCGATTATGTGTTGCATCCGTAATCAATAACGATACACAATGAATATTTATCGAAATTAACAGATTGAAAGTGAAAGTCATATTCTTAATTTTTTTTCGAGCCAGTTGAGTGTTAAATGTCTTTTATTGTTTATTATTCTTTCATAAAAATATGTAACAAAAGTTAATATTTAACTCTTTAAATTCTTTGGAGTGAAATCTCATTCTAAAGAATGAAAATTGAGCCAGTCTTGAAAAGAGTGAAAAATGCAAGTTTTGCTTTTATAATATATTTTCCAATCTTTTATTTAATTTTCTCTAGAAACATTACATCTTTCACATTATATCTTGTAATTGAATAAGATTCATTAAATTCTTTATATTACATTTTCTATTACTATATTGTAAGAAAAAGAAAAAAATCTGATTTTATTATTTTTTTATTTTATATATATATACCATTCTTTATTTAGATACAGATGTAGCTTCAAATATTTGTAATAATCGTCTCGAAATAAAGAGACACGAATGCGAAGCAAGTGCGAATGTTTCTTCGGATGGAAACGCTGAGGAACGGCCCTGAGAAAGAGAAACGAATTCTCGCTTACGTACATCGGGGAAAGGCGCATATTGACGCCACGTGCGCGCGCGCCGGGATGTTTATCCCGACAAGAGCAAAATTCCGGCTTCGTGAAATCAATATTATTGTTCCCGTCGGGCTAAATTTGCATTGCCGGTGCACCGCGGCCGGTGCATAATACGAGCGCGCGTCCGGACAGACATTTGGAGGGTGCGCGGACAAACGAGTATCTCGAGAAATAAGCACAGAAACCGATGAAGAGTGTTAATCGTTACGTCGGTTCCAATTCAAATTAATTTTAATTCTAATTAATTTTATTTTCATTGAGGCATAGAATTGATGATAATGAATTGTATTAAATAAATCATTGGAGCAATGCTTTATTTTTTATATAATTATATTAATTATTAAATATATTTACTATATAATTTATATTTGCATTATACAATTTATATGCATCACATCTTTATTGTATTTATACTATTATTTATACTATTATTTATACTATTATTTATACTATTATTGTATTTATACTATTTATCTAATTTAAAATATAGAATAAATATTTTTTATACTAAGAAAAAAGTTTAATATTTACGATTGTATATATAGTTGTATGGTAAGATAATTATGATTAGGAGCTTTATTTTTATAGTTATATTACTGTTATAACATTAATAACACAGATAAAAATTATATTTATATAATTCTACTAAAATATATAGCACCGAAAATATAACTACTAATTATAGTTAAATTATGGTGCATATATATATAATACAACCGTTTTTTCTCTCAATGTATATATCACCGTTTCCAAGCCTTATTATAATCGTAGTTTCAGTTAACTGTAAATCGAGCTCAGAGATGTATAAAAGAAATTTACATTTTTTATTTTCCAAACGTCCCAGCAAAATTGAAAAAGACTTCCGCTGATATCGATATTTACAAATAAATTATCATCTGATTATCTTTTATCTTTATCGAATGGGAAATGCTAAACGTGTCAGTTTCACCGTGTCAGTCTAGCTCGCGTTTCAACATAGGCCATTCATATTCGCGCACAATTACGAAAGATTGGAACAGATTCGGACGACATTCTGTACTCTCGGCGTGCGAGTACTCCGGACAGGAATGTCATAATCTTTAATCCGCGAAGGGACCCGAGGGTCGCGCACTCGCGTGTATTCACGCGCCAGTGGTAGCGCGAGTTAATCCCGCAAAGTGCGAGAGCAAGAGATGCTCTCTTTGATCTCTCCACAAAAGCCGCTACACGGCATTGACCGTGGTTTATATACGCCCATGGTTTGTATGAGCCACTGTATTTGCTAGCTCACTCATTCATTAAATTCGTTGTATAATTAGGCTCGCTTTTCGGGACCGGAGGAAGGAGGGAACGACTTGCTCGGGACTCGGTGCTCTCCTCTCTTCTCTTTTCTTTTCCCCAGGAAGATCTCGCTGCTCTATTTTGTTGCACGCACTTTTTTCGCATTCCGCCCCGACGCGACGTTATTCTCGCGCACTTACATATGTAGGACACGCCGAAGGAAAATGTTTCAAGAACAATGAATATTTGGGGCGAAATGGATAATTACTTCGTTTTTAACGAGAATACAATTGATGATGATGGAGCTACGAGACATTTGCCAAATAGATGGCACAGTTTGAGGATTATAAGTCGTTGCACTAAAAAAAATACTAAATTTTAATAAATCATTCGTTTGAATATTGTACCAATTAAATATTTATTAAATGTAAAGATATTTATTTAGTAGAGAACTATTAATTTGATTTAAATATCATTTTGTTTATTGAGTAAATATTTATTCATTATAATTAAATGTTAGTTATAAATGTTTAGTTGGTACTATTCTAATAAATATTTATTGAAATTTCAAATTTTGTACATTTTTTTAGTACACACAAAAAATAATTTTGCTGAAGTACCTATATAAAAATTAGGCTAGAGATTTAGGCCAGATTTGAAAATAATTACATTGGGCCACCTAAATTATTAGACATTCAAGCTGATTACGGGAATGTCAAATTTTTGCAGCAATTATCATGTTTGTGTGTATGTGAGCGTTTTACGTTATTATTTTGATGATTAGATATAATTATTTTTAAATCTGTTTGGCATAATTTTTATATACTTTAGTAAAACCGTTCTTTCCGTAAATAATAGTCACGCTCAATATGTGAATAAAAATCTTTCGAAAATCGTTATTATTAATCATTTATTCGTATATATACGGTCAATAAACTAGCGGTCTACTTTCCAAAGACCTTTTCATATACGATCTACACGTTTGCGACAACAAACGAGCGGTAATTAGTCGACGGCGTCGACGCTTCGTCGTGAACAAATCGTAGAGTGAATATCATAAACCGGATGCGTATTATCTGGCATGAATTAATCTATAGATTCTATACATTATTACAATACAATGACTCAAAAATCCAAGAAATATTCTTGTATATAGCATGATATAAAACATTTTTTGTTGATATTGACTTTTTAATTGATTTTTTGGCCGATCGGTTGTTGCACAACCAAAACATCCTTAAATTCTCCCTTAAAATATCTTTGAAATAGTTTTCTGACACTTTAATGTATATATGTATAGTTCGCAAAAAACTTTTTTGTTTACACATAAAAAAATTATTGATTATTAAGAAGAAAAATTGACTTTAAGTTAACTGAAGCATTTGCCATAATATTCAATCTCTTTCTACATATTCTTCAAAAACAGGACGACCTTTTCTGCGTATTTAGTAAAATAAAGAAAAAGAAAAATAATCGATGATGAAGCGCTGCTTCGTGATTCCACAAAATCTCAGATTTCATGGTTTTCCACGTAGAAAGGAGCGTCGGGGATTTGCGAGGAATTGCGACGCAGAGATGCGCTGCAGGATTGCACCGCAGGATACGTTAAAGGCCGACGCGGGAAACCGGCAACGAAGAGAAAGAGAGGAGAGTGAAGGATAGTGAAAAAGAGAAAGGAGGAAGATCCTACGTGTCTCCCCCACCAGAGGTAGGTGGTCCACGGAACCGCCTCCGCGGATGGTCTGCCATCCACCCGACGGTTTCGGTGCGTGTGCCAGACGTGCGCTCGTCTCGTCTCGCTTCGGCCTCTTCCAACCCGTGGACCAACCTGTGCAGCTGAGCCGTGCTCTTCGGACGGCTTTCTTCGCCTCCCTGAATCCATCGGGTCCATCGTCGCGTCTCTCCTCTCAGCCGATCAGTCGGCCATCGGAGTTTACCTGATTCGCCAGTACCGCCGCGCCGTCGCGTCTCCCGACCTCGGGTATCCATTCGATGTCTCGAAGTAGAAATCGGATAAAGGACGACACGGCGTCCCAGTTCACACTATCTTCCGTTTTTCGATAACCGATAATAAGAAAGAGAGAGAAAGAAGCGATAAAGAGATTTAACTATGACACGACTCGATGATCTCGAGGTCGGTCAGGACGAATCTTCTCCCGCTCGATGTGACATCCCTCGAAGTAACGTGCCCCACGACGACTCTTAAGTCGTCTTGGCCTCGAACGCGAGAAGGACGCAGAATCCTCGAGAAAGGAAATCCATTGACGAAAAATAAGTCGAGAAGCTGCAAAGTCCGAGGGATTCCCGAAGAGCGTGTCCCTCCTTTTCTCTCAGCGTATCGCGTTCCGTCGCATCGGTTTCCGTTTTAATATTTCCTGGAGCTGATAACGAAGTGAATCTCTGAGTGATCTACGAGTTCACGGGAATCGGTTTAATCAATCAGGATAAAAAAAAAGTATATTCGATACGGATACGGTCGCGCGGGGTCGACTAAGTAGCCATAAAGAAGATTTGGCGACCTATCCGACCCGATTAATCGCGCCATGATAACCCTCGATTAATTATCGAGCTCCTAGCTCTCCATTCCTGCGACGGAGATTTCTTACCGAGAAACCCTCTTATCTACGACTGATATCCACGAGATGCATTTTACGTCTCGTCAAAATTTGCCATTTGATTTCTCGATAGTTATTTGAATGATATTTTTGACGTTCGTGCATCAAGTACGGTTTTGAGTTCATAAATCTGCATTATCTATGAAAAACATAGTTTTTGGTGATCGTGGGCATCGACAGCCATCAGTGAGAGTGACTTCTGCGTTTAACGGAAATAAAAATGGAGTCTCATCATAATAATAATGGCTTGCCGTCATTGGAGTCATTGGAGAATAAAGCTAGCTCTTCCAGTAACGAGCCTGGCAGCAATAATTCCTTAGACGATGCTGTGGGCAAGCTACTGCAAGGTATGCATTTTATAACTTAGCATATTATCATGTAACATAAATTAATAATTAATGAAAATTGAAAAAAGGAGTAATGAGTCCAGCAAGTTGCTAGTACAATTAACAACAATTGCATTTTCAAACAATTAAATTATCTAGACGTTTCGGTTTATATTAAACCATCTTCAGTGGACCTTTAATATCTTACAATTAATACAATTGTTAATTGCATTATCAATTTTCCAAACTTATTGCTCCTTTTTTCAATTTTTATTAATTGTTAATTGTTTGAGACAGTTTCGTTACTTTTTGATAAATTAATTTTAGCATGTAATCATGTAATATAATTTAGCATTTTTAAAAATTTATAACAAAATGAGCATAGTGACAATTTCATGAATGAACAATATTCTTGGAAAATAGTTAGGATAATTACAATAAATCACAATGATTTAAACAGAAAGAACGATTTTGCTGAAAGTTTAAAATCTTTTTACACTAAATAAAGATCTGAAAATATATTTGGTTGGACCATTAAAATAATTTTATTGGAAATTCAAACTGCTAGAATATCAAATTTTCTTGTAGCATTGCTTGTTATTTTTTAGTTTCTAACATAATTATTTTGATTGTCCAACAAAATTATTCTCAGATCTATATCCAGCAAAATTTTAAATCTTTCAGCAAAATTTTTTCTTCCGTGTATATATACTCTAGACCAAAAGTTCGGAATCACTTTTTAAAAATTGATATTATTGGGATTACTTACTCAAATATTCATAATAATAAGATTTTTTAACAATTCTTCAGTAGCAGTAGTTAGATCTAAAGAATTACCGTTTAAAAAATACATTGTTATGGATATTTGAATAAGCAATCCCAAAATGTTAATTTTATAAGTGTTTCCAAACTTTTGGCCTGGAGTGTCCTGGTATTCATACATTTTTTGAGCATTGCTGGACAGTTATGTTGACTCTGTCTAATCACTAAAAAGTAAAATTACTCAAGTTAAAATTCCGCTCTGCCTGCAGTTCTTACTCACAAATCTAAATCTATTTACTAAATAAAAACAGAACAATAAATGGACTATGCAGTATTTTAACTAATAATAATCTATCTTAATACTAGACAATAACTGAGCACAAGCAGATATCTATGTAAGTTGCACAGATTTAAGAAAACTGTTTCAGAGCTACTAAATAAAACACTGATCGAGTTCTTCATTTTCTACGCAATACTATTACAACTAATGAAAGTACTGTAATATGACAGTAATTAGATGGGTGTCTAGGAAAACTGTATACATTTATAGAGGGTATATATCATTTTTAAAAAGCAACCGTTTTAACTAATTACACACAAGGAAGAATTATGGCAATAAACAAAGAACACTATGAAATATCACTCTTTTTTGGTAAGCACTTGACAAAAAATTGATTATTTAGTTTACGTAATCTGTTTAAATTAAAATATTTTTGATCTTCTTTTTATTATGTACTTTTAGAGGGCACGTACTGTTGAAAAGAGACGTTAAAAAAATAATAAAGTATCTATAAAAGATTAAAAAATAATTTACATTAGTAACACTCGAATGCGATATCGGATGATATTGACGAAATAAAGTGCGGATGAAAATTGGCAAATGAAAAAATATCAGTCATCCGAAATAGCACGTGAAATGCGCGCGTCCATTCGTCGCCTCGTTCCTTTTCGTTGCAGTCTTTATCGAGTCATTTAGGGAGGCAAGGCGACTGGTAATTGGCGCTGAAAGCCCACGTCGTCAGCCGGCATCGCTCTCTTCTCCATTTGGCCGTACGCCGATTTATCCGGGCGCTATTCGCGAGAGTAGAAAGCGGAAAGCAGGGGTGGAACCCGACGAACAAGGCGGAGAAAGAGCGAAGCGGCAAACGGTGGTGGAGCGGAGTCGGACGAGACGGAGAAATATAGCCGAGAGGATCGTCTCCTCGCGAGAACGATCCTCTGCAGCTATACATATTTCTTCGAGGGAGGGGAAAACTCGCGAGAGCACGGCAGGTGCTGCGAGCAGAGCGTCCCCCCCCCCCGCCGCTAATTATCTTAGTACCGAATTAAATCTGAAAGATCACTGCGGGAGGGGGCGCAGGGCCCATGATTTACGGCGCGCGTCGAGACTCGGTCTCCGCGACGACGGAGTTTCGCCAGAGATACGGGCACAATCATCACCGGGGCGCGGCGAAACCCCGGACGAACAGACAGGTGGAAATCGCCTGGGGATGATATCTCTACCAGACTAATTCTGTCCACGATGTCGGACAATCGCGACGCGAATAATTACGAGGATTAATGGGGTCTGGTCGATGTAGCGGATTAGGAGGAAGAGTCGTGGACGCGTCGCCATCGCCTCTTTCTTGGGTCTAACTATTCTAACGGGGTCTAGATGCAAGATACGCGACTATATTAGCACTTCGATGCAGCTCTCACTACGACGTACTCGAGGTTTCTTTTACTTTATATCCCTGGTAGAAATTTCATACATTTTTTAGCAGTTACTGGACAGTTATATTTAATTCTGTCTAGTAACTGAGAAATAAAATTATAATTTAGGACCTCAATCAAAATGAATACTTTGTCTGTAGTTATTACGCATAAAAGACGTGGAGAATATGAACCTATTTATGAACAAAATAGGATAATAAATGGACTACTTCAAATTTTAATTAATAATAATTCATTAATACTAAATAATAACTGGGTGTCTACACAAATTTCACATATTTTTACCAGGAAAATTGCTTTAGTCACTGAATAAAACTCTATCAAGTCTTATCCATTTCGTACACAATATTGTTATAATTATTGAGAATACAATAATATTAAACAATAATTGGATGGGTAAGGAAAAGTACAATACATTTCTACCAGGGATATTACTACTTTTTTTATTAATAAAAATACATACATTTGCTTATTATCGTTATATTCTTTAATGTCTGGCATTTGGATTGAAAATAAAATTTGTTATATAATATATAATTCATTTTTATGTAATATTTTTATACAATATTCAGATAGTGATACAAAGTGACATCAAAGGGTTAATATTTCCCGATCCGCTCACTGTAAAAACTTTTCTTTGCGACTTTTACAGATTCATCCAGATACTGTACTCTTTAATTAAACGAATAAATTTCTAGGAAAATCTTCAAGAGGATTTTAAAGAGTGCGTTTCGACGATAACCGATCCACTCGGAGAGTTGTGCCGCGAATCATGACACGCTCCCGTTTTAAGATCAGATTTGAGATATGTTTAATTAGATTAGAAAGTGCCAGAAACGACAGCAGAGTGACGGACACTTGAATCCGTCGATGGTAGAAGTTGAAAAACTGATGGCACGCGCGAGTCGTTCGTGAACATTGAGCGCACGCAGGAATGTATAATCTAAATAGTTTATCATATAACTTGAGAAGAGACAAGCCCGCGTCTGCACCACGAGTAAATATTTGATCCACCGGTGCTAAGCGATGCGTTTCGCTACAAAGTGTCCACTCGACGAAAATACAGGTGTCGAAATTATTCGGTCATACGAAGTGCGGACGTGTCTTGGACAGTTATGTCTCTCGGTTTTGTAACAAAATTATAAAATTACGCAAATTATTTCGTTTATCGCTGTTCTTACATGTCCACGTAGAATTTTTATTATCATAATGACAAAATATTATATAATACGATTAAATGCGGAAGAAGAAGATTTTTTTGCTGAAGTATGTAAAATATTCAGTTAGATACAGATCTAAAAATTAATTAAATTTTGTTTGAAACATTAAAATAATTATGTAGGATGCTTAAACTGGTTGATAAGATATTATCATTATTTTTCAGCATAGTCATCAACATTGAAGCGTTCTACATAATTATTTAGATAATCCAACAAAATTATTTTCTATATTTACTTAATTTTTAGATTTTTTAGCAAAACTTTTCTTTCTTTCTTCTTAAATGAGACTTCGTGGTTGTACGTTAATTGGAGCTAATTTTTTACTTTACATTATTATGTAATTATAATATTTATGGCAAAATTTCATGTCAGATAAATTACTTTTGACAAGCATTTTAAAAATTTCGATAGCACCGGTCACCAAGGATCATCAGAGCGGTGACGTATTTAAAGTCCAGACTTTTCATTTAACCTTATTTAACCCTCCATCATCAATGTAAATTTTAACTCTTCCGTGAAGGTCTTGGAGAAATAAAGCAAATTTTTTATTGTTCTGGATTATATAAAAATTTTTTAAATTCTGGTATACACTTGTCAAGGCTTTAACAACAAGTTTTTACTATTATTATAGAAGAATGTAATATTCGACATCTTTTTACGCACATGGCGTATATTTTTTTCTTTTTTAAAAAGATTTCTTTATTATCTTATATGTATAATTGAAAAATTTGTTATCATAATTAAGAACATATAGATATGACAAATAATAAAAAGTCACAAAAAAATACTTGGAAGCAAAATTGAAAAAAGTTGTAGCAGTTTGAATTTTGCAAGGAGCCAAATTGGCTGTGCCTTGGTCTTTCTAGTGTTAAAGATTCTAATTACCAGCGGAGGGTTAAATTTCGATCGTCTCGTCTCCCTTGATTTTAAATGCACTCGTTTCGTTGATTGTTGTTTCACGTTGGTATCGCGCGAATACTCGTCGCATCATGAGATCGAATACTGCGGCGCGAGTCGAGGATCGTCGGGCACGTGGCGACAAGCCGCGTAACGATATCAAACATCGATAATACGAGGTGTCGAAGCGTTTAAGAGGGCCTCGTTAAAGGCGGTAGGATTTGTAACAGGCGGATTTGTAAAGGAGTTAATGTAGCAAGAGTCAGACGACAGGTCGCCATTGACGGCCGAGCACACCGGTTCATTCACCAGACTGCACAACCCGCCTATTGTAGCACGGGCGCGCTAACTACGGCCCTGATCTCGCAACTCAAAAGCCATTCAGGATCCTGGAAAAAAAAACGAGCGAGTTCTTGGTCGCTTGGTCCGATTCGCTGATTCACCAAGTCGTTATGCTAATTAGTCGTTACGTTAAATCGAAATGGGGGGGGGAAGGGGTGGAGGAAGAGCTTAAAATTACGCGCGATCTGGCGAACGGCTCTCTCAATTTCGCTATTTAGGATTTATCATTTAATCGTCGGTACAAGACTGTATTTGATGCCAGAGATCGATTAATTCACGAATATGTCAACGTCGCTTTGAAATAAAGCCTCGTTGTATTGTTAATCCCGCTTTATCTTTAGACGAATGTAACAATCTTTAGACGAGCTTTATTTTCTAAGCTTTACTTGTAAGACATACCTTTATCTATTTTTTTAAAGGACATCGTACTATTAAGTATCTATACAGAAAATTAATAATTATGTGGAAAATTTGGTTCCAGTGAAATTAGTTTGTTTTCATATAATGTAGTTTATAATGTGATGGTGAACAAAAGATGTCATAGGCTCAATAATTCTTGAGTTATAATGTATCAAAGGTGTAAAACTTGTGCTCTGTGAGCACCTTTGATAACACCATAGCTCAAAAACTATTTATTATTAAACATTGTGTCTGACATTTTTTGTTCATTAAATTATAAGTTACATTGATACATTGAAAACGTGAAACTACGTGAAAACTAACTCATTTCACCGAGACTTAATTTTCTATATAAAATTTTAGTGCGAAGTCCTTTATTAAAGAGACATGGAGTGCAAAGAAAAATGTTTCTTTTTGCCTTTCTGTGTAAGACTCCAGCAACTGAGGGGGTTCACCTACATAGTCAGTTAAGCCTCAAAAAGAGGCCGTCTTTCCTAAGGACTGATGCCTTTTGTATGCCTAATTTACCACGTACGCTCGATTCGCGCGAAATTTTCTCTATTCCCGTCGCGTTCCTCGCAAAGCCCTTCCGCGTTTCCGTGTAAAATTATATTTCGGCTGCGGCTATCGGCGCAGGCGTTGACGAAGGACCTCCCCCGGATGCCGAAAGGCGCCGACACAAGTGCCGCGTCAGTGGACCGTGAACCCACGGTAATTAGCTCCCACCAGCCTCCCGAACTCCGGGTTGACGCTTCGTCACGTGCACCGTCTTTCCCCTGGTCTCGTCCATACCCTCTTTCCCCCGTTCACCCTCGTTGACTCGATTCCTGAGTGCTTAATGATGATTAAAAACACGAAAACAGTTCAATGTAGTTAAATTCAGATTTAAGCTCTTTTCTCAAGCTCATAATTTTAATTCCTGTACGTGTAATGTTTTCTTCTTTCTTTTCATCTTTTCTAACATATAATTATATCAATTTTGTTAAAATAAGTAAAAGATATTTTGGGACTAAAGAATCAATATATTATATAAATTTATTCCTTGTTAAGAATAATTTTTTTAAAATCTTTGTTAATCTTTGCATAAAGCAACAAGCGTAAGATGATTCTTATTCTTAATGTGCCTCTGATGCCCGTTTCTGCCAATGTAGAGTAATTTTAATCTTGGTTTAACTTATTTTTTTATCTTTTTCTAGTTCCAAGAATTAAAAGAGGATGAAAAATAAATTAAACCGAAATTAAAGTTAATTTATATTGGTAAAAATAGACAAACTCGATATTCATAATCGATTCTTATATTCGAGGTTATCTTAAGTACAATCTTGATATGTCATAAGCCAATCAGAGGGTTGTATTAGCACCTTAAGACATTATTTAAGACGATCTTAAAGTAAGGACGGACAATATTGTGTCCATTCATAAATGTATACCGTCCATAGGCTTCATTTCTCACAAGGCTCATTTCTATCAATGTATATTAACTTTAATCTCACTTTAAGGATGTATCTGAGCTATTCCCAAAATAGTACCAAATTGATGAAACTTTGGGAAACTCTTCCTTTGTTATCTGTAATATACTAAAAAAAATTTCAAGTAGCTTCACTAAACCGTTAGAGAATAATTATTATTTTAATTATGATGATTATAAAAATTTAATACTAGTACTGGCCAATTAATAACTTATTTTAAGTATTAAAAATATTATTAACAGTATTTTTAATACTGTGTGTGTGTGTGTGTGTGTGTGTGTGTGTGTGTGTGTGTGTG